CTTGTCACTACCTTCCCTTTAGCCAGAACTGCTGCCTCCACCGCCACTGCCACTGTGGCCGCAGCCGCAGCGAAGTAAAGCCGAAGCTGCCGTGGGCCGGCCTTACACTAATTAAACAGCATGAAGAGGCTGAATCACAAGGCCTGCATAGTTTGAAAATTGTAGCCCTGCCTGTTGTGCTGAGTCAAACTGGTTTGTCGGGATTGGGCAGCCAAGGGGTGGGGGGAGGGAGGCTGGGTACAGCTGGGCACCTGATGGGGTGGGAGAGGCCCCCTACCCCTAGGGCTAGCCCTGGCCTAGCCATGGCTTGAGCATCTCGTTGACTTCTTCCCCCAGATTCCTGGCCAGACCTGCTGTGCCCGCATCCCAGGAAAGGACTCAAAGACCTCACAATAGGGGTAGCTTCCCATCCATGCTTCTGGCTGGCAGGGCCCAGACTAGGGTGGGGGGTGTGGATGAGTACTGAGGCATCCAGGCTCCCTGCCCTTGCTTCTTCCTCCCTCTCAGGTTTATTTAATTATAAATCCTCATGATCTGAGGGGAGGGATGAAAAACAAAATGTGTTCTCTGTTCTGAGATGCTCCGGAGCTCCCCTCCCCCTCCATCCCAGACTTGAGGGCAAAGGGGGAGAAAGGGCAGGGGGAGAAAGGGGTGGCCTTGAGTGAGTCAGGCTCCTCCCAATCACATGGCAGGGTACCCCCAAGATCCGTTTCTCCTGGTGCTGGTCACCCAAGTCTACAATTTGTACAGGCATGCACAAATACTGACACATGGAGGTTGGGGGCTGGGGGGAAGGCCCAGGATAGGGCCCTTGTTTGACTGAGGTGGGGACCCTATGGAGGAAGGGGGGACTAATTGTGGGGTGGCATGGAGTTTTCTCCCTCTCTTCACAGGCAGGGCTCCAGGGTACACCTTCTTGCCTAGACTGTACCCTGCTGTCCCCCTGCCCCTGCACCCTGCTGGCCCAGTCTGGGCATGTGACCTTTCCTACTACTTCTAAGTCTCTGGGCTGGAGGCTTCTTGTTTCTTTCTCTAGATTTTTGTGGTTTCCTGGGTCTCATTGAACACCCCCTGCCCCACAGTGGGGTTGTTCTGAGTGATGTGACGTGGGGTCTGGCAGATCCATAAAGTTCTATACACCTGGGCCTTTACCAGCGCAGATGGAAGGTTCCCAGCTAGTGTCCCTGCACCAGGGTGGCCCAATGAGGTCCTCAGACATGGGCCGGGTGTCCTCAATGTTCTTCGTATGCTGGGGCCCCAATTCATGTGTGCAGATATTGCCCGAAGCTCCTAGGGCTAAATCTCTTCACTATAACACCCCCTCCCCCAGGGTTCAGGGGCCCTTGGGACAATGTCATTGTGCTGGCAGGGAAGTGGCCTGCCGTTTGGGCTGGGGCAGTACCTAGGAGGCTACACCCAGTCACACCCAGAATCATCTTTATGCCCCTGCCCCACCTCTGCCTCTTGACCTGAGACAGCTCCCTCCTGTGCCACATCAACGGCCATGGGAAGCCATTGTGGTATTTGTTACTTCCCTGTGCCTCTGGCCAAAACTACCTTAGTACGTCTCCTTTATTAGCAGACATTGCCCCCTCATCTCTTCCTCCATCCCACGGGAAGACTCGTCCCATAGGAAAAATCCCTTCCCGCAGTGTGCGTGTATGCACTTGTGCGAGTATTTCATGTTCATGGAGGTTGAGCCTCTGAGGTTTTACCAGACTCTAGATCCTGGTACTTACACCGTGTCTGCACACTTTTGTCACCTACTTCAGGGCAAATGGGCATCTGTGTGTGCACAGCTGCTGTGGGTTGTGTGTGACTGTAAGAGCATGTCACCAAGTCTGTACGGGGAAACTAGTGTTTGTATTTGCACTTGACTACGCTCAAGACTGACTTGTGGCTGGCAGTAGTGGGTGCAGTTGGGTATTTAGGAGAATGTGCTGTTGGCATACGTGTCCTCGGTAGGCCTGTGTCTCAGGAAACCTGCATATACGAAGATTGTAAGAGAGTCTTTGCCTAAGGCAAGCCAAATCTGTGTGTAGGGAAGACTTGCTGTGTATGAATGTCTAAGGGAGACTAATCTGTTTGTTCCATATGTATCTGTGTGTTGGAGAAAGACAGACGGTAGATGTGTGTGAAACCATGTTTGTGGGTAACTGGTTTTGTGTGTTTTTGCCCACCGTATGTGTTGACTTGCCCCTCTTTGGCCCTGGGGGTGGGGAATGTGTCCAACCACCATGAACTGGGTGATGTGTGCATGTGTGTGCTCAGGAGAGGGCCACACAGTTGCTGCCACGTGGCTGTTCTCCATGGCCCTGCTGAAAGGGGTTTTGCTTCTTTCCGAGCATTGAAGCCCCAGTCCCAGAGCCCCGGGACTGGCGTTCACGTCCCAGCTTGCTTTTGGGGGGCTGTTGGGGTTCCCCTGTCTGACTGAGCCTTGTATCTGGAAGTGACCTGCTGTTCTCTGGTCTCCAGCCACATGGCGGGACAGAAGAGGATGGGAGTATGGTAGGTAGCTGGAGGAGTTTGAAGATTGCCCGCTCATTCGTCTTTTGCCTTTATCCCTGTACCTCATATCATCGACCCCAGTGTGCGAACAACACCCCTCGCACGCACAGCAGAGGCAAGGTGGGCTCAGTTGCCTCGCGGTTCTCCCTCCCAATGCCACAGACATAATTCTGGAACCTGTTCCCCCCCCCACCCCCCAACCTCCTTCCAGAGCCTGGGACGGGAGCACCTCAGGGTCTTCCTCTTGGTGAAGGGACAGGCCTCTCCACACCTCCAGAGTCCTGGGAAAACCGAAAGCGGCCCCCTCCCCACCAGGGTGACCAGAGCCGTTCCTCAGGCACACATGACTCGAAATCCAAGTCCTCTCCTCATTAATGGGAAAAATGTGCCGAGATTGAGCGATGGCCAAGGGCCGATCCCTTCCCTCCCTCTCGGTCCCCAGAAATTAAACAGAAATGAAGAGACTCCCCGCTCCTACCGCCTTCCCCTCCTCTCCCCCTCCTCACCATCCCTCCCTCCACTCCCTCCGCTCAGAGCCAGCGCAGGGCTTGTTTTAAACTGTAGAGGAATCTGGCTGGAGGGGGGAGGGGGCTGAATATTTAGGTTTAAACAGTTCCAGATGGGTTTGGCACAGTCTGAGCAGAAGGAAGTGAGGGAGAGGGAGGAGGGAGGCAGCATTCGAGGGAGCGGTGGGAGCCCTCCTCGCCTGTTGGGGTGGCGGGCAGCAGGCAGACAAGCAGGCGGACTGGCTGGCTGACTCGGATGGGGGGGTGCGCTTGGCTGCTCTGGCTCCTGGGGACAGGAATACTCCGAACTGCTGGCTGGGGAAGAGGCCTCTTGGCAACCTCTGTCTCTGTCTCTGTGGGCCTCCTTGTCTCTCCATCTCACTGTCTTTTGTAGTCCGCCGCCGGCCATCCCGGCTGTCTGGTCCTAGCCAGCCACTCTGCACATCCCTCCAGCTCCGACTGGGTGCCGCCCACCATCAGCTCTTGGAGGCCCCGCTCCTCCCACCTCTCTCCTGGCTAGTCTCTGGGCCCTTGCTTCTGCCCATCTCCACTTCCCTCCTGTGCCCAATGTCCATCCGTCTGTCTGTCTGTCTGCCAGAGGGGCCTGTCAGGCCACCTACGGTGAGCCTGGGATAGCTCACTGTGCAGCAGGGCCCTCCAGGGACCAGCCCCTGCTGCAGGAAGAGGAGGGAGCTGCCCTCCCCACAATGAATGGCTGCTACATGCTCCTCCTTTTGCCCTGTATGGGGCCTGCCTCATCCTTGCCTCAGACCCAGACTCCAGAACCCCAGTGGAGGTCATGAACCTGCAGGCTGTAGGGCTCCTGGACACCCCTACCCTGTCCCACTGTTGATATAGTAGCTTTCAGAAGTTTTGGGGGAGACGCTGTCCCAGAGCTCAGAGTTGAGGCAAGAACTGCTGGTTGCACTGTCTCTTTAGGTCTGATCTTAGGGTTACACTGTAGAGAGCAGAGTTGTCCAGCCAGGACCCAGAATTAGGTTCCTAGGGAGGGGAGCAAGTTTACGTTGGAAACATGAATGGGTCCCTTCTACAGAAAACAGACAAACCATAGCTCAGAATAGGATTGGTGTTATGACAAAGCCCCCTACCCTACATGCACAGAGAAGGCATCTAATCCTGACTTAGGGGTTCAGGGAAGACTTCCTGGAGGAGGTGACAGTTTGGCTGGGATTTTTAGGAACTTTCTAGACTTTCTGTTTCTCTTTTACAGAAGGGCAGATTGTAGCCAGAGAGTTCTGATTAGAGGTTAATGGTGGAGTAGACCTGAATTTGAGCTACCCTGCAACCTTTGCCCTAAGTTCTAGCCTTTTTACATATGTACGTTAAGCCGTTTACTTCCTCTGGGCTTTAGTTTTCTCATCTGTTAAAGGGGTACACCACTAGTTCCTTTGTCTAAGGATGACAGGAAGAATTGAGCTAGCAATCTAGGAGTGGGTCTGGGGCTTGGTGGCTCCTACCCCACCCTCAAAGAGCATTCCTGCCCCATCCCCCTATGTGGTTGAGTGGGAGGTTGGGTAGGAGCCTGTGCTGGCCTGTAACTGCCTTCCCCTTTCTCTGGGGATGTGTGGGGCTGGGCCTTTGTGTGGGGAATGGAGTCAGGGGAGGCCTGGGCAGCAGGGTCTGAAGCACACAGCTCTTTGTTCCAGGATAAAGGCCCTGCCGGCCCCTTTGTGTGGAGATTAGCAGAGCCTATAGGTGTGTGAGCTGGCCCTGGCTCCTGCCTCATTAACCCAGGCCTGGGGTCATCGTCAGTCACCCACCCCCAGCTAGCCCCAACTAATCTTAAAGGTTGTGAAATCTCTAGGGATGGCCCCAGGGTCTCCCATTGGGTAGGGGAGCTGGGGGCTTTGGGGACTTGGGATGGGTGCCTAGCAGGTCTGGTGTCCCAGCCATTCCTGGGTGACCAACTCTCTCTCCCCATCCTGAGCTTGACCCCTGACCATTTTCTTCTGTTGCTTCCCCCAGAAACCCTCATGGACACAAAATGGGTGACATCTGAGTTGGCTTGGACATCTCATCCAGAAAGTGGGGTAAGACTTCCCCACCGTCTCTCCTGAAGTGTTGGTTGCCACGCTTTCCTCTGGCATCCGTCCCTCTCCTCTCGCTGGGGCTGGAGAAGGCCTGCCTCCACCTCCTGCCTGTTAATTTCACCTCCTGTGGGGTCCCTTTACCTGTCACCTTCTTTCTTTGCCTGATGGGTCCCTTTCTGTGGGTGTTTTTTATGTCTTTCCCCTCAGCCTGCCATGTCCCCTCCCACAGACACACCATCTTTACTCCTGACACCCTCTGACTGTTTTCAGCCTATTCCCATCCTTCTGCTTGACAGCCCTTTGCATGTACCACTTGACCATCTCCCTTCTTTCTGGGACTCTGGGGAGAGCACTGGCTTTGGAACCAGGAAATCTTGGTTCTAGACCTCTGATTTACTGTGTGACCCTAAGCAAGGTAATTTACCTTTCTGGCCTTCTATTTCTTGGCTTTTAGACTCCTGCAGTGCTGGCAGCTCTAAAATGTTCTAATTAGCCTCCCTAGATAACCTTCATGGCTGCACTGAGCTGCACTGGGTTTGGGTGGCATTGTGGCCCTCGGTCACCAGGCTTAACTGTGATGTTGGGCAAGACCCTATCCTTTTTTTTTTTTTTTTTTATAGAGGCATGTTTTATTTATTTGTTTCTTTGTTTGTTTGGTTGGTTATACAAGCACTGGGTACAGTCAGAAGTGCGGGAGGGTGAGAGAATCCACCAGAGCCAGAGCGGGGAGCAGAGCAGGCAGAAGGACCGAAGTACACTGCTGAGGGGCGCAGCGGGCGGCAGGAGAAGTCTGCGTGCCATGTGGGACCCTCCTCCGGTGGCCGGGGAGCAGGCGGGGATCGAACCGGCGTCAAGGAGGCCGCGGGCAGCTTCACAACCCAGCGCTCAACTGCTGCGCCACCGGGGAGGCCCAAGACCCTATCTTTTGTGAATCCCGGGTTCCTTTTTTCTAGAGCGAGGATGACAGGTGCACCTCTTTGTGGAGTTGTTGTGACAGGCTAACTGTGATGGCAACGGTGATAGACAGTATTTATAGAATGCTTGTCCTTTGTCGGACAGTGTTACAGCCCACTGTATATTAAGCATTTAATTCCCTACAGCCTCATTTTCTTCCAATCAGCCCCATTTTACAGATAATGAAACAGACATAAAGAGAATAAATATTATAGCTAATAAAGTACTTATAGTACCCTATTCTAAGTGCTTTATTTAAAATCATTTAGTCCTTTCATATCTTTATTCTCACCATGTTGCAGATGGAGAAATGGAGGCATAGGGAGGTTAAGTTGTTATAGGACAGCCCCGTTATTGAACGGGTTGCCTGGCTGTGGGTCCTCACCCCTGTGCTTAAAAGGGACTTATTAATACTCCACTACAGGCACACACAAAAGGTTAATAAAAGGTTTATTTACAAGGGAAAAGGAAATAAGGAAAATGTACAACTCAGGGAGAAAATAGGGAAATAAAGTCTTTAATGCGTCCTACCCGATCCGCCGACCTGGAAACCCAAAGGCACTCTCCGAGCTGGCCGGACAGACGCTGTGAGCTGGCGGAGAGCCAAAATGGGGGGCCCCTCCAAAGCCCACGTGTCTGGCTTTATACCAACCTGGCTGCTTAACCCCACCCTCAGGACCCAGCCACCTTCCCTTTGGTGGTGATGGGATTTGGAGTTCCCAGTGTCTTTGGCTTTGCCTGGGGTGGGGGAGGAGTCCACAAAACCTGTATGGAATTAGCTTTAGGACATCCTTTTCCCCCTAACAAAGTGACTTACCCATAGTCACACCTCAAGCAGAGAGGTGGGATTTGAACCCGTAAAGTCTGCGTGCCCGGCCAGTGCACCACAGAACAGCTCTGCGAAGTAAATGTAGCAGATCTGGGCATGTGGTGAGCACCTGGCAAATATTGCTGCTCACTGCCTGTCTTTTGCACTTGGTCCACACACAGTGGGAAGAGGTGAGTGGCTATGACGAGGCCATGAATCCCATCCGCACGTACCAGGTTTGTAACGTGCAAAAGTCAAATCAGAACAACTGGCTGCGCACCGGGTTCATCAGGCGGCGGGATGTGCAGCGGGTCTATGTGGAGCTCAAGTTCACTGTGCGTGACTGCAACAGCATTCCCAACATCCCCGGCTCCTGCAAGGAGACCTTCAACCTTTTCTACTATGAAGCTGACAGTGATGTGGCCTCGGCTTCCTCCCCCTTCTGGATGGAGAACCCCTACGTGAAGGTGGACACCATTGCGCCGGATGAGAGCTTTTCGCGGCTGGATGCTGGCCGGGTCAACATCAAGGTGCGGAGCTTCGGGCCACTCTCCAAGGCCGGCTTCTACTTGGCCTTTCAGGACCAGGGCGCCTGCGTGTCGCTCATCTCTGTGCGTGCCTTCTACAAGAAGTGTCCATCCACCACCGCAGGCTTCGCGCTCTTCCCTGAGACCCTCACTGGGGCTGAGGCCACCTCGCTGGTCATTGCCCCTGGCACCTGCATCGCTAATGCTGTGGAGGTGTCAGTGCCACTTAAGCTCTATTGCAACGGCGACGGGGAATGGATGGTGCCTGTGGGTGCCTGTACCTGTGCCACTGGCCATGAACCGGCTGCCAAGGAGTCCCAGTGTCGCCGTGAGTGGGGATTGGCTGGGGCAGGGGTTGGCAGGGAGGGCCTGGGACCCAGCCCCCTGTTGGTCACTACCTGCCTTCTCTATTTTGCCAATAAAGAAACTGAGTCTCAGGTTCTCTACACTCAAGGCCTCATGGATAGGAGTGTGGGAGCTGGGATTACAGTCTCGTTCAGTGCTCTGCCAGAAGACAAGATGCCAAGGGCCTGGTCTCAGTTCCCCCCTGCGCAGTTCTTTCCTCCTTGTCTACCAGCTAGATAAGGAGGTCTGGCTCCAGGTCTGGGGTGGAGGGAGGAAAAGGAAGAGGGTAATCAGGTGCAGAGAATGGTGGTGGGTAATCAGGTGCAGGGAGGGATGAGAGGAAATGAGAGGCATCAGGGTAAAAAGAGAAAAATGAAACTAAAAGTAGAGGAACAAAGACGTGGATAATCCTTGACAAGGAGGCACCTGGAGAAGCTGATCAAAGATTGGGAGACCCACAAAGATGCCTGTTTTGTCCAGTCTCAAGGATATGCTTAATCCTAGAAGTACTAGATGGGCTCCAGACTATGGAGGTGGGAACTGTAGGCACCATAGGCTTGTCCCTTTTACCTTGGGGTCTCTCATCTGCCAGTTGAGTGGCAATATATATAGGTTTCCCTGGCTCCCCAAAAGTAGAATGTTTCTACTTGGTATGACTTGGTAGGTTATTTTGGGGACCTGGGAATGATATTACCATTAATTTATATGGAAAAAATTTTGAGCTTCTCAGATCCCCCATACCAAGCCACACCAAATAGGAATGGTCTACCTTCTGATAGTAGAACCTATATGGTATAGTGGTTAGTCCTGAGTCTGCCACTCACTATTTGTGGAAAGTTACCTAACTCTTTGAACCTCTGTTTCCTCGTGCAAAATAGGGACAGAAATGGTGATTGCTTCCTAGATTTGTAGTGTGTCTTAAGGTTGAATTGATCTGTGTGAAGGGGCAGTGCCTGGCCCATGGCAAGCATAAACACTGCTGAGTGTTAGCCATGGGATGCAGGGGGGACAGGCATTATTTTGTCCTTATTTCATTTATGGGATTAGGAGGCTTGTCTCTGGTGGCGTGCCAAGATTCATAAGCCCTTGTGATGTGCTGGAGTTCCCAGCTATAAAACCTGTCCATGTAGGATTGTGTCATTTGAGCCTCGCCACAGCCTTGTAGATTCCAATTCTCTCCTCTATTTTGCCAATAAAGAAACTGAGTCTCAGATTCTCTACACTCAAGGCCTCATGGATAGGAGTGTGGGAGCTGGGATTACAGTCTCGTTCAGTGCTCTGCCAGATGCCAAGGGCCTGGTCTCAGTCCCCTCTGCGCAGTTCTTTCCCTGGCACTTACAGCTTTATAGCCTGAGGGGTGGGAGCCGGTCCTTAGCACAGTCATAGGTGTGAGGGGACTGGCAGCCCCAAGCCTGGCTGAGGCCTGGTGTTGGGTGTTGTCATGGGAAGGTAAGCAGTGCCTTACCCGGACCCTCTCCACCTCTCTATGGGAACCTGCCCCAGACTTCCTTTTTCTAAGTGGAAAAAGGGGGTGGGGGTGATGAGCCTGACAGCCTGAAGAGGGGCTAACACTCCGCAGGTCCCTGGCAGGAAATGCATGCTGGTTCCCATAGCAACCAGGCTAGCCTGGCCTCTGCCCCCTCCCCCACTGGCTCAACTGAGCTGGGATGGAATATCACCTTAGTGAGGGTACATTAAACCCCAGGGAAGGGCATACCCCCAACTTTGGACATGTCATACTCTGGGTAAGCTCCCATAGATGGTCATAGATGTGTAGGGTCCCCGTACATTTTAGTGTGTTCAGGAGAGTGCTGGTTTATGGCCGTTACCATAACATCATTGTTTCTGCTGCTCCCTTTCATCCCCAAGTATTCCAGTTTGAATAATAAATTATTTGACCACTGTGATATGGGGACTCTACAGAGACCAGGGCCCTGAGTGTAAATGGCAGGAGGGGAGGCAGAGAACTCTAGGCTTGCTTTGGGTCCAGTTCCCCACGTGGATGCTTTGAGGCCTCTGAACTCCAGGTGACCCCAGCCTTTCTGCCTGTTTTCTTTCTCTCCTTTTCTCATCCTTCAGCCCCCACCCCTGCCCAAGGGCAGAAAGGAGGTGTTGCCCTGCTCCTAGTGGGTGGGGAAACGTGTTGGCTAAGAAACTCAGAGGCCCCACCTCCTGGCTGTTCTGGGGGTGTCCTGGAGGGTCCTCGGGAATGATTCCCTTCCAGCTACAGGGAGGGGTAGGTGTGCTCAGCAGAGTACACCTTAACTGCCTCCCGCCCGCCGTCTCTCCCCACCCCTCGGCTTCCTCCTCCTCTCTCTGCCCTGCCTCAACAAGCCCAGGCTGTCCAGGTGATGGGGCTGACGTCTTAGTCCATGAGGCCCCGGGACTGGGAGGGTGGGCAGGGGTGGGGAGGAATCCGCTGACATGGGGTTTCCATGGGGCAAAAGGGCCTTTTGTAGCTGCAGCTGGAGTTAGGCAATCCCAGCAGGGCCCCCATGGTCTAGGAGGTGGAGGGGCCAAGACTTGTGCTGGGGGAGAGCCAGATTCTCACGGAGGTGTGGAGGATTGGTGTCTGCAGACAAGGCAGGTGAGCACATCCATCCTCTTCTCCCCTCTGCAGCCTGTCCCCCTGGGAGCTACAAGGCAAAGCAGGGAGAAGGGCCCTGCCTCCCCTGCCCCCCCAACAGCCGCACCACCTCCTCTGCCGCCAGCATCTGCACCTGCCACAATAACTTCTATCGCGCAGATTCGGATTCTGCAGACAGTGCCTGTACCAGTGAGTGAACTTGAGTCCCTGACTCTCCTGCTTCAGGCCTTCTCTCTGTGGACTGGACTGGGAAGGCCTACATAGTCACTGTGAATATCTCCACTTTCACGATGGGGAAACTGAGGGTCAGGGAGGTTAGTTGTTGTACTCAACATGACACAGCTAGGAAGTGACCAGCCCTGAGCCAGAAACCGGGTTAGTGGGCCCAGCCCTTCCACCAGTATTTAATAAGTGCCTACGAGCTCCTAGCCAGACTGGCTGGGCCCTCTATTCCACCTTCCATAAGCCACTGCTGCTTTCTTGGCCCCACTGTAACCACAGAGGGAGCTTCATATCTCTGGCACAGCCTGGTATCCCAGTTTCTCTCTGCTCTGACTTTTTGTACCAGGCATGAGGCCAGGTGCAGGGATGTGGAGGAGAATAAGATATCATTGTTGTTCTAAAGGAGCTCACAACCTGTTGGGAGAAACAGATGTGAAAACAGATAATGACCGTACAGTAGGCTAAGAGCTGGGCTGGAGGGGTACTCAGGGATTATGTTATAGGAGTACAAAGGGGGGGGGAGAGGATGAATCAAGGAGGACTTCCAAGAGGAGATGCCATTTCAAGTTGAGACTTGAAGACTAACTAGGAGTCTGCCCAGTGAAGACATGTAGAAAGGTACTCTGCTTATTAGAGTAGAGGCAAAGATAAGGCAAAGATAAGGAGTATGCAGGAACTCTGGGCAAAGGGTTGACCTAGGGCCCCTGATTCACCCCCTCTCCCTCTCCCTTCCTTGCAGCGGTGCCATCTCCACCCCGGGGTGTAATCTCCAATGTGAATGAGACCTCACTAATCCTTGAGTGGAGTGAACCCCGGGACCTGGGTGGCCGAGACGACCTCCTCTACAACGTCATCTGCAAGAAGTGTCGTGGGGGCCCAGGGGCCGGGGGGACCTTGGTTTGCTCACGCTGTGATGACAACGTGGAATTTGTGCCTCGGCAGCTGGGCCTGACAGAGCGCCGGGTCCATATTAGCCATCTGCTGGCTCACACACGCTACACCTTTGAGGTGCAGGCAGTCAACGGTGTCTCCGGCAAGAGCCCTCTGCCCCCCCGCTATGCTGCTGTGAATATCACCACCAACCAGGCTGGTGAGGAGGGGCCACAGGAGGGTAGGGCCTGGGTCATCTTCCCCTGCACAGAGCTGAGGTTGCCCAGGGCCTGCCAACGAAACACCAGGGGTCCCATGGGAACTGGGTCGTTGGAAAGGATGTCAGGGTCCAAGGAGCCCATGGTGAGCCCCACACTCTTCCCTTAGCCCCGTCTGAAGTGCCTACACTACACCTGCACAGCAGCTCAGGCAGCAGCCTGACCCTGTCCTGGGCCCCCCCAGAGCGGCCCAACGGAGTCATCCTGGACTACGAGATGAAGTACTTTGAGAAGGTCAGAGTCTCAAGGGGCAGGAGGAGGCCTTGGGACAAGAAGATTCCCCCAGATAGTGTCAGAGGCTGTAGGGAGCCAGGCCTCAGATGCCGAGGGGGCCACAAGGGCAGGGCTGGGGTGGGCAGGGTCTGATTGGCTGTAGGACCCATTGAGCTTCCTTTTCCTGGTGTTGCAGAGTGAGGGCATTGCCTCCACGGTGACCAGTCAGAAGAACTCCGTGCAGCTGGACGGACTGCGGCCTGACGCCCGCTATGTGGTCCAGGTGCGCGCCCGCACGGTAGCCGGCTACGGGCAGTACAGCCACCCTGCTGAGTTTGAGACCACAAGCGAAGGAGGTACACAGCCCCTGAGCCCCTGTGCCTGCCCCTGCCCGTACTTTCCATACCTCCACTCACTCAGCCTCTCCGGTCTCCAGGCTCTGGTACCCAGCAGCTCCAGGAGCAGCTTCCCCTCATCGTGGGTTCTGCCACAGCTGGACTTGTCTTCGTGGCAGCTGTCGTGGTCATCGCTATCGTCTGCCTCAGGTACTCCCAGGCCCCTGGTTACTCCCGTGGGCTGACTAGAGCTTCCCGTTAGTACCTCAGAAGAACCATCTCTGTGAGGTTACCACATAGAGAAACCATCGCCCACATCAAACCCAGACCACAGCCTTACTAGGCTGGCTCTCCTTGCTGGAATAACTCTCTCCTGTGCATGCCTATGTCCTAATCCAGTTCCCTCCCTGTCCTCTGACTTGACTGGCAGGTCCCCTCTAGGACCGAGTCCACTGAGCCCTCTGCCCAGTGGCTGCTGTAACCACCAGTTGTGGGACCAAGCACCAGGCCGTCCCCTGTGCCCTCTGCCCCTACTGTGAGCCCAAGTGTCCCCTGAACAAAGGGAGCTTTGGGACTTGTCTCAGGCCTCCCTCCACCCTGTCCCCTCCAGGAAGCAGCGGCACCCACCTGATACGGAGTACACAGAGAAGCTGCAGCAATACAGTGAGTGTGTCTCCTCATTCCAGCCTCCCAAAGCTCCCTTGGTGCCTGCGGGGCTTGGAGACACCCTTTGCCCTGCTTCATTCCTTGGTGCTCCTACCCCGCATAACCCCTCCTGCTTCCAATCAGTGCCGTTTCCTCAGCTCCTCTGCCACTCCTGCTAGGCGCAGGGGTGAATGAGACAAGACCCTGGTGCTCAAAAGCAGTTAGTTCCATGAGAAAGACAAGATAGGAATACACAGAAAATAATGAGAGAACAGTTAAGTGTTAAGCCAGGTGTTCTGTTATAAAGGGCACCAAGACTTCAGAGAAGAAGGCTTGAAGACTCCCTGGAGGAGGTAGCTTTGGACTGATCTGAGCCAGACGGGATGGATGAGCAGGGTTTGGAGAGGTTGGGGAGAACATTCCTGGCTAGAGAAGCCTCTGGGAGGTAGTAGGTGGGGTGGGGAGAGTGCCCAACTGTGGGCAGGGAGAAGACTGGTTTGACAGCTGCTGGGAAGCAAGAGTGGGTATTTGCGGCCAGTCCTTGGAGGGTCGAGAGAGGGAGGTAGAGAAGTTTGAACTTGATTCTACCATAGGTAATCCGGAAGGCTCTCAAGCCAGGGAGTAATACAATAAAAGTATTGTTTTAGGAAGACAGGTATGCAGGATAGATTGGTGGGAAAAGACCAGAGGCAGAGAGCCCAACTGGGAGTGTTGAAGGCCTGGACAAGGTCAGGGGCAGTGGGAACAAGCGGATCTGAGAGAGGTTTCGATGTGATGAGTGATGAGGGAGAAAGAAGAGGAATTGTAGATGTCTAGCCCTTACCATCCCTAGGGTTGTCACAGAGAGACTGTGGCAGGGTGGGTGGGGGCTGCGACTTCACAGAGAGGGCTGTGGAGCAAGCTTAGGAGGAGGTTGAGGAACATGCTCCATGGGGCTTGACAAGACTCAGGTAGTTTCCTGGGCCTGAGGGCACAGCTTGGGCACAGCTTGAGTTCCCTCACCACTCCCAGGCTGAAGATCTGTGCCTTCTCATGCCCACCTTTCTTCCTTTAGTTACTCCTGGAATGAAGGTTTATATCGATCCCTTTACCTACGAGGACCCTAATGAGGCTGTGCGGGAGTTTGCCAAGGAGATCGATGTGTCCTGTGTCAAGATCGAGGAGGTGATTGGAGCGGGTGAGTCTCCTGGGGCACAGTGGGGATGGCAGATGGTGGTTACCCCAGGGGAGGACCGAGGCAGGCTGGTACAGGGGCAGTTTCAGAAATAGCTTTCTCCCTGTGCCCCGCAGGGGAGTTTGGGGAAGTGTGCCGGGGCCGCCTGAAACAGCCGGGTCGCCGGGAAGTATTTGTGGCCATCAAGACGCTGAAGGTGGGCTACACTGAGAGACAGCGGCGGGACTTCCTGAGTGAGGCCTCCATCATGGGTCAGTTTGACCACCCCAACATAATCCGCCTAGAGGGTGTGGTCACCAAAAGTCGGCCAGTCATGATCCTCACCGAGTTCATGGAGAATTGTGCCTTGGATTCTTTCCTTAGGGTAAGAACCAGCCTCGGCCTTTCCCCCCTCAAAAGCTGGGTTGGACAAACCACCCTCTCCCACAATCAGACCCTGTTCAAGTACAGAGGTGGCATGGTGCAGGGAAACAGCTGGGTCTTCAAACCGGAAAGACCAGAGTTCTCGTCCTCATGGCCCGCTACTCTCTCAGGCTTTACTTAACCTCTCCAAGTCTCAGCTGCGTTGATTGTAAAATTGGAGTGGTTAAGAGCAATCTGAGACTTTACAGGGATTCATGGGGTGTTGTATATTAATGCCTGCCACACAGTAGGGCAGCTCACATGCTTAGTACACTCAACAGAGTCCCAGGTATATGGACCAAGCCTGATCTCAGAGGACCTGAAGAGGGCCTGCAGGTCTTGGGTAAACCCTGGGCCTCCAGGGAGGTAACGAGGTGCCCACCTAAGCTTAAGCTTGCTCATTGCTTCCAGCTCAACGACGGACAGTTCACAGTCATCCAGCTGGTGGGCATGTTGCGAGGCATTGCTGCTGGTATGAAGTACCTGTCTGAAATGAACTACGTTCACCGAGACCTGGCTGCCCGAAACATTCTTGTCAACAGCAACCTGGTCTGCAAAGTGTCGGACTTCGGCCTCTCCCGCTTCCTGGAGGATGACCCCTCTGATCCTACCTACACCAGCTCCCTGGTACAGGAAGCAGCTGGGAGGGAGGCAAGGGGTGGGGCCAACCAGGCAGGGGCATGGGGCTGGGGATCAGCCCCGAATCATAGGATGAAGGGCGTGTGCCCCCCCTACCAGGGCGGGAAGATCCCCATCCGCTGGACCGCCCCAGAGGCCATAGCCTACCGGAAGTTCACCTCTGCTAGTGACGTTTGGAGCTACGGAATCGTCATGTGGGAGGTCATGAGCTATGGAGAGCGACCGTACTGGGATATGAGCAACCAGGATGTGAGTGGGGCTGGCCAGAGAGGTTGGGTAGGTGGAAACTGGCCAGGGAACAGAGTGGTGGCTCACTCCAGGTTTCCCTGCTCTCGGCGCAGGTCATCAATGCTGTGGAGCAGGATTACCGGCTACCCCCACCCATGGACTGCCCCACAGCACTGCACCAGCTCATGCTGGACTGCTGGGTGCGGGACCGGAACCTCAGGCCCAAATTCTCCCAGATTGTCAACACCCTGGACAAGCTCATCCGCAATGCTGCCAGCCTCAAGGTCATCGCCAGTGCCCAGTCTGGGTCAGTACTTCTGCCACTGGTCACACCCTGTTCTCCAGCCTGCAGGCCTCCCCTCTACTTCCCCCGTCCTCAGGATTTACCAGGTTGCTGCCTTCTCCCCACAGCATGTCACAGCCCCTCCTGGACCGCACAGTTCCAGATTACACGACCTTCACAACAGTTGGTGACTGGTTGGACGCCATCAAGATGGGGCGGTACAAGGAGAGCTTTGTCAGCGCGGGGTTTGCATCTTTTGACCTGGTGGCCCAGATGACCGCAGAGTGAGTGGAGCCCCAGATTTGGAGGGACAGGGCAGGTGGCTTCGAGCTGGGCCTAGGGTGGTGGGAAATTAGGAGGGACTGACCCTGCCCTTGGTCCATCTTGCAGAGACCTGCTCCGGATCGGAGTCACTTTGGCTGGCCACCAGAAGAAGATCCTGAGCAGTATCCAGGACATGAGGCTGCAGATGAACCAGACGCTGCCTGTGCAGGTCTGACACCTGACTCCCACTGGGTGGGTGGCCCCCAAGGACTGCGCAGGGACTCCGACCAGCCAGCTGGACTTTTGGACTTTCGGATGCCTGACCTCAGGCTGTGGTCCAGAAGATGGAAGTTTGGGGAAGGCCCACGCTGGGACTTCTCCAGGCCTGTGCTCCCTCCCCAGAAAGTGTGTCCCAAACCTCTTCATATTGAAGATGGATTAGGAGAGGGCGTGATGACCCCTCCCCAAGCCCCTCAGGGCCCAGGCCTTCCTGCTCTCCAGTGGGGAATCCCCACCACCTCAGACTTGGCTATTCTTCGGTGCCAGAGGTCCTGGGAGGGCCCGGTGGGGAATAAGCCCGGGTTCCACAGGGCCCAGCCCTGGCAGGGGTCTGGCCCCCCCAGGTAGGCAGAGAGCAGTCCCTCCCTCCGAAACTGGAGGAGGGGACTCCTGGGAATGAGGAAATGTGACACCCCCAACCCGAAGTCAGCTGGCATCTCCAGTTTGCACAGGGACTTGTTCTGGGGGCTGAGGGTTCTGCCCCACCCCCACCCTTGGTGCTGTCATAAAAGGGCAGGCAGGGGCAGACTGAGGAGCAGCCCCTTGCCCCCCCAGAGACTGACTCTCAGAGCCAGAGATTGGATGTGTGTGTCCGTGTGTGAGAGCGTGTTAATGTGAGATTGTGCATGCACTGGCCTGCACAGAGAGCATGGGTGACCATGTAAAACCCTTGGCACTGTGCCCTGCAGTGGCACTAGATAGGCCATCAATGGAATAAAGGCAATAAAATGATTCTCTTGTCCCTTCTTATTCTGTCTGCTAAGGCTGGGTTCCCTGATGCCGATGCCTTCAAGTTCACAACCCCTTGGCATCAGCCCTTCAGAATCCCCTGTAGTCTCTGGGAGAACAGGTCCAGGCCTATCCAGGCTCAATTTCCCTTTTGTGTTTTGCCTTCATTGCATCTAACAGACTTTTTGGAAGTGGGGTGATACAGTAAAGAGCAAACACCCCCAGAGTGCATTCCAAAGCTAGGTATTCCCGGTTGGACCAGGGTAGACACTTGAGTCTGGATGGTGTTTTACAAGACAGGATCCTTTCACACCTGTTGTCTCTGAGGGAGCTCAGGGTGGAGGGGGGTTGGTCAGCTCTCAGGGTCACGTGATTAAGGACAAAGGGGATGAGAGCCCACTGGTGTTCAGATGCAGAGGCCAGCTTCTTTCAGCAACACCAGCCCAGAAGGGTGACCATTCTTCACTGAGCGCTTATGCCCCAGGCAATGGACTAAAATGCTCCATTGATACATGGATCTTATTTAATCTCCCAACAACCCAGCCAGGGAAGGAAGTATTTTTATCTCCTTTTAACAGAGGAGGAAAAGGAGAGGTTAAGTTACTTACCCAAAGTCACTGAGCCAGAAAGTGAGGCCTGGGGCTGGGATTCCCACCCAGAGACTGCCTGCACACTTGAAAGGTTCAGAGGATAAATAACAAGAACCAGGGAGAGGGTTAGGAAAACAGCTTCTGGAAATGTCAAAGGAGAAGACCTTGGGAAGGGGGGCTGGGGTCACTCAGAGGCCCCTTGATGCAGAACCTGGTTGGGGTGGGAGCAGGTGCAATGCATTTCCTAGTGTCGATTTCCTAGAGTGGGGAGGGGTCCCTTTGTGGGGCATGAAACAGGTTTCCACGGTTTCCATGAAACAGGTTACCTGCATATCTTAATTTTTTTTTAATTTATTAAGCAAGTAGCTATTTTCTGCTTTTCTTTCTTTTTTTTTTAAGATTTATTTATTTATACAAGAACCGGGGTACAGGTCAGAGGCACGAGAGGGTGAGAGAATTCACCAGAGACACAGTGGGGAACAGAACAGGCAGACTGACCGAAAACACTGCTGAGGGGAGCAGCGGGCAAGACAGGAGAGGGCTGCTGCGCCATGTGGGTAGCTCCTTGGCAGGCCGGGAATTGAACCCGCGCTGCAGAGGCTGCAGACAGCTTCACAGCGTGGCGCTCAACCCGCTGCGCCACCGGGAAGGCCCTGCATATCCTAAATTAGAGGGTCGTGAGGAGACTTGGTAGGGAGAGGGAAGCTGACAAAACCCTATAGATCTCTGGGTTTCGTGTGTTGCGGCCCTCCCCTCCTCCCATCTCTAGCTCTGCCGGGGAGAGCTCCTTAGGAGAATTCTAAGCGGCACAGGAAGAATTGAGGGTACTCTGGGGATCTAATAGGGGTTGGCAGAGCCGCCCTCCTGGAGGCACCAGGCGCTATTTCAGGTGCAGCAAGGATACCGGCGGCGGCTGCGGCGGGGTAAGAGCTTTCGGGTTTTGCCCAGTGCTCTGCGGGGCTGCCTAGCGGGGAGAAAGGGGTGGGGAGCTGTGGCAGGCTCCCGGGGCTTCTGGAGCCCCTCTGCGCGCGCCCCAGCGGCTCCCGCTGTGTGGTATCCGCGCCCCCCTTAAAGTCAGGGGCTGCGCTGCAGTAGCTGGAGGGGCACCCCACAAGTCTCAGCCCTCGGCAACCCCGGGGGCTGAGCCGGTGGGAACAGAACCTCTTCGCTGAGGCCTCCTTTCTTTTCTGGTTCCGGACTGTGCTGGCGGGGGGGCGGGGGGGGGCGGCGGGGGGGGTGCGGTTGATGGGACGATAGAGGGCCAGAGGGCCGGAGGTCGCCTTGGACTCAGGCACCGCAGCTGTCAACAGGGTGAGGTGTGGAGGGCTTCAGGGGGAGGGGACCCGATGGAGTGGTGACCTGTACACTCCGGGCCACATTCTCTAGTTGAGGGCTCAGATAAAGGGAAGGGGGTGCTCCAAACTCCTGCTCAACTGCTACCCATTTCTTACTTCTTTGGCTCAGGGACTGGGGAGAGTTGTTAGCCCAAATCTCCCTGAGTAACTCCCTCAGCACCCTATAACCATCTCAGCCTGGAGACTGAATGAGTTTGGGGGCTCCTCTCGCTGAGGTGAGACTTCGCCCCAGCACTGGGAAGGCAAGATGTTTTACACCAAGGGAGAAGTGTGCACTGGGAGCCGGAAAATAAGGGGACACTTGGTATATGAATGCCCCAGACCAAAGATTTTGAAGGATGTCTTCTGTCCTGAAATCCTGCATGCACAGAATGCAGTGTGTCCAGATAAGCTGTAGCTGCCTGCATGCATGCATACCTCTGCTTCCATTTACCCAGCAGACTGGGGCAGACTACACTTGCCAAAGCCACACCCACACCTTGTCCCCAAGTCACCTCCCTTACTCAGGTTCACACATTCTTGCTTTTAAGACCCTCCCTAGCCCCACCTCCCAACCCATATTCCCTAAGAGTTTCCTGGGACTGAGACCTGGTCGGGTAAGGCGTGTGAAGAAGGAAGGACAAATGCCTTCGCTGACACACCAGTGCATTCCTCCCATGCTAGCTTGTGTCTCATCTGAGAGGGTTAGACGAGTCTTCAGACCTCTGAGCAGGGGTGGGGCTGTGGTTAGGACAAAGGGAGAATAGGGTACTGAGGAGGAGGTCTGACTTTTCTGAGGGCAGATAAGGAGCACCGAGGAGTGAGGTCTTAATCTGCCCCTCTTTGTTAATTACACACTCCTGGGCAGGAAATTAAATCTCCCAAATCAGTGCTTAAAAAGGGAAGGGGGTGGAGGTGAGGAGAAATGAGGCTGGGGGAGGGGCAACTTCCCTTCACTTATCTCATCCTTTCTGCCCCAGAGGGTCAGCTGCAGCCCCAAATGACTCATTTTATGCCACTCTGGCTGAATTCAGAGAGTAGGGACAGATGGGGAGAGTAAGCTCGGCCCCAGATTGTATCCTACCCCATCCAGGGAGAGAAACCTGGACCACAGCCCTCAGATCGAAGCCTGGGTGGCCAGACCCTGGATTAAAAACTGGGAAATCTGGGATGACATAGTATAATATGAAGGGCTGCAGATTTAGAGAACAGGCAGACTTCGAATCAAAGACCAGCTTCCTCGTCTATGACCTTGGGCAGGCTGGCCTCCCTGAGCCTGTCAGCCCTGTGCTCCTACCCCCAAACTGGAACCCTATACCATTAATGCCTGCCCTTACCTATAAAAAATTGTTAGTTATCATTCCTACCTCATGAGATTGTTAGAAATGTTAAATCAGTTACTATACTAAATATGTGTGGGGATCATAGTAAGTGCTCAAAAACATCAGCTACTATTTTTATTAGTGTGAAGTTTAAATAAAATACAGGGATAGGAAAATACTGACTAGCACTTGGAGCATAGCAAAGGCTGAAAAAACCAAGGCACTTGGGGAAATCCACCAACCCCATTCCACCTATGGAGATGCTGGACATTTTGCTGCAGGCTTAGCCCAAGCAAAGGCCCACTTCCTGGGATAGGGTTGCTGGGGCCTGGATGGTTTGAGGTAATGCATTAAGGGGTGAAGAATGCAGCAAGTTGCTGAGGGAGTGTGGACTCTGCCTCTCTCTCCTTAGCGTACTGATCCTGAGGCTGGAAGTGAAAGGGGCTCCTTCTCACTGACTGATGTTCATTCATCCTTCAATCTACTGCGTGGCAGACATGTATCGGGCACTAGGGATACTGTGATGAGTAAGAACAGAGACAGCAGCTGCTTCAAAGAGTTTGGTCTAATAAGGACACAGATGTTATTCAAATAATCATAGAAAGAAATGTATATAACTACAAGTGGAGGTAAATGTTCCTGCCATGGGACAGAATCACAGCCTTAGGGACCTTAGCTAGTCTTAGGGCCCTCTAACCAGTTATCTGATGCCCAGCAGAGGGAGCTGGGGCCCCCATAACCATCCTGGTTCCTTTAACCTCTTGGTGTCTGGCTCTGACTATATCTTCCCCCTGCCCCCATTTACTTATTCAACCCACCTTCATTGGGCCTTTTCTTACGCCAGTCCCAGTGTGTATGGAGCTGGGATGTGATTAACTGGCTATAGTGTCCCCCCCACCGCCTTGAATGGTCACAAAGTTTGGGGAACACATATATAAATCAGCTAATACAATGCAGTGAGGTAATTGCCACAGCTAGAAAGGACGGGGTGCTGACAGGAAGCGACACATGCAGGACCTTCTGTCAAAGAAGGCTGTCTGAGAAGATGATG